TAACAAACTTGTTAATTGGTGTCTCATAGGCCGTTTGGCAGGACAATGCCGACTCAATATGTAATGAAAATAAATGACAATAAATAAAAATAAATGAAAATATAGGAAAACCAAGAAAAATAAATGAAACATCATCCATACATTCTTCTTCTTTTTTTCTTTTTCTTTTTTTTCTCCTTCTTCTGTTCACCTGCTTCTCATTACCTATCAAAGAGTTTTTGGGGCGGTCGGGTAGCCTAGTGGTTAAAGCGTTCGCTCGTCACGCCGAAGACCCGGGTTCGATTCCCGACATGGGTACAATGTGTGAAGCCAATTTCTGGTGTCCCCCGCCGTGATATTGGTGGAATATTGCTAAAAGCGGCGTAAAACCATACTCACTCACTCACTCAAAGAGTGTTTGCCCTTTCTCTAAAAAATAGCCAGCTGACCAGTACAGGAACTCCAAATATTCTGTCGTGGCATGGTCCCCATAGGCCTAAAGGCAGCTTGTTGCATTTTCAATGTTTTTTTGGTATGAATGTTCATATCAAACATGTGCTCGTGTACCTATGTCAGGAATTCTACCATGAATTATGAATTTACTCGATTCTGATCGGTCAATCAGAGGCTAGTAAATCACAATAAACCCCCTCTGATTGAAACAGCTGGTTTGACGGCCGCATCAACGCGGAAGCTAATATTCATAGAATTGTACTATTTTCAGTCATTGTCGGTAGGCATATTTAAATAATTATATCTACAATTACAGGTTACAAAATTCACAATTGCGGTTACTACAATATTCAAAGGATGTGTGGCAATACATTTCGTGCAGAAAAACACGACAGAAATCAACAAAGGGAATGTATTTACGTTTTGGAGACAACAGAGAACTTGGAATTTTGGCGCTTTTCTATGTACGACTGTGGGAATTGAACCCGGGCAGCGTGACGAGCCAACAATTTAACCAACCACTTGACTCCGCCCCCGCCCCGCCCTTGTTGGTTGGTTCGATGACTACATGTATCATACATGAAAAGTAAAAGAACACATGCAGAAATCTCAACAATATTTATATCAATTCCAGAAACGTTACTGTCAAGACTTTCAAATCCCAATAAGGAAAGTATTATTTAATTCACAAAGAATTCAAATACTTAATTATGAACAGACAATATTAACGTATGTTTTCTTTAAAACATGACTAATAAACCAAATAAAAGCTTTATCAGTAAATAGTTCCATTATTGTGTTTATTTAGTTTATTTAGCCTTTCAGTACTAACACATTTCGCTTTGTTATATAAAGAGTTTCAAACCACCTAAAATCAAACACATAAGTCACGGTCTGATCGATCTTGATCAATAACTCAAACATAGGTTTGAAATGTTCATTACTGTCAGACCAGACGCAAACAACACGTCAGTAACCACAAATCCGTTATAACAACACAGTTACAAACACTTCTAGCACCTGGCCATGTCAAATCAGACCCCTATGGTGTAATCTCGCCTTAGAATGAATCCCGTGTTTAAATAACGGGGCCGACACATTAAATAGACCCTAATTAACTAACGGGATAAGGATATTCCTATTGTGAGTAGATTACGTACGTGTTCGTTTAGGGGTAATTAGCTTACGCATTGTCGTAATTGTTGACGATGGACCAATCAGATTACACCTTCCTTCTCGCTGGTCGGATGGATAACGGTAAAAGGGTATTCTAGGGGTAATGGGATGTCATATTTGTCTTACTTGCTGACGTGGGATATTAACGTATACTATTGGAGGTAAGTATTTATTTAACGTGTTTGTTTTGAATAATATTATATTGTTTGCATGGACTACTTTTTGGACACATATTTCTGAATGCCTTCTTTAGTTATTTTGTTATTTTATTACTGTACTCGTTAATCTAGGCCAGGGAAGACATAGTAGCTTCTTGTTTAGGCAAGAAACGGGTTGATATATCGGTCTGGAACCAGCGAAAAGATGTTGTTTTCATTGCACACAAGTCATAAGATCGGAAAAGCAGGCTGTCCCATTTATGATGATGATGATGATGATGTTAAATATGATACGTATGCCAGGATTGTTTATTATGGACAAATGAAAGAAAGTTATCAATATCAAGCCAGTTTTACATGAATACGCCACTACACACAGTATACTAACTCCGAACCGACCAGTCCTTGTTTTAACCCCTGAATGCCGTGCGCCAGGCAGAGTGACAACAAGTAACATCTTTTAACGTCTTTTGGATCAAACCACCGACCTTTCATGGTTTAAAATAAAATTACTGAGGTGTTTTCCCCCTAGACATTGTGTAGTATAAACTGTATAATATATAGAATGCATTAACGAGACGAAAGTAAATAAAATATGCCACAATTTATCTGAATACTTTTTTAGAATATGTAAACGATATTCTGTACAACATATAATATAATATAGTAGTATAATATAATATATCAAGGATAATTTGTATAAACCAGTAGAAACTTTTAACACTGATATTTGTACATCTGTTAATATGTCAGGAATAATATGTATACATCAGTTGAATATGTCAACGGTAATCTTTATACTTCAGTACAATATATCAACGATAATCTTCATACAACAGTACAGTATATCAACGATAATCTGTATACATCAGTGATATATCAACGGTAATCTTCATACAACAGTAGTTTATATAAAACATAAATCTATACTAATGTGAAGAATACAATAACTATAATACTTATACACATGTATCAATAAACTTTCTGTTGTCAGACAAAGTCAGCTTTTTTGGCTGAATAAGGCCCATACGTTATCGAAGCTAATTATATTGCCTACTCTTTTAGAACAATGTGATCTGATTTTTCATCAACATTGGCACCGACTTCAGCAGCCAGTGGACCACAAACCGTCACGCACACACGACGGTTGAAATGCGTGCAAGCGTTATCGTAGTCATCGGAAATACTGATTATATTATTTTCTTAAATATAATTACGATATTTGATATTTTCACACTTTATCAGGTTCCTATTTTTCCCACCGCGGCAGTTTCTCACCAGAAATAATTACAGCCTGGCACTCTGATATAGATTCATAATCTTCATTCCACAGTGGTAGAATACGTTACACGTTACAAACAGTGCCTTGCATGAGTGGAAGTATTTGAAAGCCCCTTGAAAAGAAAATATTTTGACATACGCATTTAAAAGGCAAAAAAGAAAAAAACCCGTTAAGAGTATTTTAACACAAAATTTCCATTCACTGAGAACGAGGACAAGTTGCATACACTAAACCTCACTAACCCGAACACCTGTCTCTCGACATATCGTTTTTCAGACAATGCACTTTATAAGGGGGACAATCTCCAGTCATGCCTATAAGTGATGATTCGTATTATATTGTGCTCAAAAGTAGTTTGATCAGGTCTACAACATTGAAGGCCTCAGTAAATTTTAAAAATACTTTACGGTACACTTTGCCTTTGCATGTGTTTGTGACGTGTACCACAAGTGAGGCAGGATATGCTCACATTTTCGCGACCACCTTGTATCGTAACTATTTGGCAGTGATTCAGAAACACAAGCTCAAGTCGGAATCATAAATTAGAAAACTTTTATGAGAACGAAAAGTTGTTTTCGCTTTATTAATTTGTAAAATTTGGACATTGTGTGTAATGTCTGCGTAATCAGGGTAACTATTACCTTTTGTATTCTTGTAAATATGAAACAAATATAATATCATATAATATCATTTGAGTGACTTGAACCAAACTTGGACTGACTCGGGGTCCGATCCGCCTTGTATTAGTAAAACAGAATCGGTATTTGCGCTACCAACAAAAAATCAACATCCAGTCATCTTCTCTTGATAATCAACATTTTTATATATGTCAAAGATAATCCCCGTACAGATATGTTGAAAACGTCTTCTTCTCTGTCACCAATCAACTTCACTCTCGTAGAACGTTATTCTATATTTCTACCAATAACGGACACGAATACTCTTAGCAAAATATTAACTGTTAAAAAAATGTGCAACATAAACTCCTTCCAAAACCCAGTGTTTGTTTGTTCGTTTGTTTGTTGTTTAACGCCGCACTCAGCAATATTCCAGCTATATGACGGCGGTCTGCAAATAATCGAGTGTGGACCAGACAATCCAGGGACTGACATCATCAGCATCGATCCACGCAATTGGGATGGATGACACGCATCAACCAAGTCAGCGAGCCTGACAACCCGATCCCGTTAGTCGCCTTTTACGACAAGCATAGTCGTCATTTACGGCAAGCATGGGTTGCTGAAGACCTATTCTACCCAGGTCTTCACGGGTCCTAAAACCAAGTGGCCAAATAGGAATGTACGTATTGTTTGCGTTAAACCGTGGAAATAAATAAACACATACCTTACACATTGTACATGTGTTTGGTAACTTTGAAATCTTGTATGAATGGAATACTCTTTGAAAATTGATCAAAGTGGACATAGTTTCAAATCTAATATTAACCCACAACCCGTTAATTGAGCTGTCGCGTTAATAAGCATCACGTGATATCACCCGTCACGTGACAAACCCGTTAGGTCTTGTGCTCCTACAATAATTGATCTCCACACAAAGCATATATGTATCAAGCCATCCTGCGACTAACTCGCCCCGTGAAGTCGTCACGCAATAAATGATGTTTGTAACAACCCGACCCCCATAAACTCCTCACACCGAAAGCCATTAGCGGCTCCTCTACGCCTCGTTTTCACACGGTGTAATATGGAACGGCCCCTTTCATGTATTGTGCTGTGTTCAGATAATTTTCGCACCTCTTGTCCAACGAACATCGATCTGTTGGTAACGGGCGCATTGCACGACTTTTATGTTTCATGGCTTTCACGATCTTTTAGCACATTGGTGTTGTAACTGTTACTGACCCTTACGTGAACAATGACCCGTAAACAATAGCACTGTTACTATGGAAACGGAGCAGCTGACTAATTGTTGATCACGCAGGGTGGACAGAAGTCTAGTATAAAGACAGTGTAGATTTAATGTCACACTCTCCAAGAAACCACTAAGGACAGGCGATATAGGGTAAGGCATATTTGCTGATGTGAGAGATGAAGGCTGTTTCTCATCAAATCTCTTTGTAATTGTCGCGCAACATTTATTCACCATTCGTGTCTATTTTTTATATTTTTTTAATACGTTGCAATGGAAAAAGTGTGGAAACGTTTTGAGGTCAATTTTAATAATACATACATTTTGACCTGTGTTGATAGCATCAGCAGCTGATATGTAATTATATGTCATTTCTTCATCAAATGCAACGTCATAATGGAAACAGTCTGCGTTTTATTATTAGATGAAGACAAGCAGAACTCAGTACAATGATTGTAATACAGTAAACTACGTTTATAACGAACACGCTTATTACGAACTGACGGATATCACGAACTTATTTTTTGGCCCCGGCCATTTGCTATATGTATGCTGTATATATGCTTATAACGAACTATGGTTATAACGAATTAAAAAAGCGGTGCCTTTGAGTTCGTTATAACCGTAGTTTACTGTGAATACGGTTAGCACTGTAATTGCACTGCCCGGAAAAAGAAAGTAAAACCCCATGTTTGATTAAAAATGAAATAAACAGAAATAAACAAGAAATGGTTATTCGACAGTGATGCACATATATAGGATACGGGTAGCATGGCTATGTTTTGGACCTTAAGTTTACAGTGTTTCAGCGACCGTTTTAGCCCAGTAACGTTTTGGTAATGTTTGCAATTCTTTGGTCACATGCAGTTACCCTGTGTATAATTTCTTTTCCCCGACAGATTATTAACACATTGCGAAAATTGTGTTTGTATGTTGTGATAATAAAATATAATTTAATTACAATTTATGTTTGGGTATTACGAATGCTTTTCAAATGTGGAACAGATTGTGTGTCACAGTATGTATCCTGTAAAATAATGCTTTGAGGGTGGTGTGAGTGAGTTGGGTTTAACGCCGCTTTTAACAGTATTCCAGTTATATCGCGGCGTGTCAGCTTAATGTGGGAGGAAAGCCCCAAGTGATGTAGGTCTCAGGCGTTTACCACTTCGGTGAAACCCACAAGCACGGGTATGGTGCTGACAAACCTAGAAACATAATCGGGGCGAACCGGGATTCGACCCCACAATCATAGGTTTCTGACGTGCCCAAGGGACGCAACTCTACACAGCGAATCGCGGCGCCTTAGACGACTGGGCCACCCGTGGCCCCGCTTTGAGGGTGGCTTGGAGCAACAACACACAATTACATTTAAACGCAATAGATATTTTTTTGTTTCTGGGTGTATCACGAGTATTTTAGTAAAGAGAAGTAAATATCCACTTCATTGTTTTTACAGGATACCTCCACACCAAAATGGCCTACCACACTGACCATTACTCTATTGATCCCCTGGAGAGAATGACCAGACCTGGCGCTGACCAGTACCGCAAAATCTACCACAAAACCCCCACCAAGCGAAAATATGAGGAAGTTGATATTGATGAATATGACACTATAACGGATCATGGATATTTCTCACAAAGTCCCATGCACAGTCATGGAGCGTATCACTGCCCCAGCCAACACAGGACTCCGTGTGATTGCAGACTGTGTTGTCAAGACGATGATAGGGTCAGTTCACGCCGTCCACCGAGAGATCAGTTTACAGGATACGCGTGGCCACCCTACCAATCCACATTGGTAAGTGTCTTCAACTTGTATAGTCGTATATATGTTGCTATGTCTGGTGTCGTGGCCCAGTAGATAGCCTAGCGTCATGCCAATGATCCAGTTCGATGCCCAAGTTGAACTCAATACTTTGTTCGTTGTCGTTACATTACCCTGCATAATTTTAGACAAATACTTTCATTCAATCAATACATAGGAACACGGTTACCGCACTTGCGAAATAGGACCAACAATCAGACTATGTTCCATCTAATAGTACTGCTCGTTCCTCTATATACAGTGCAATCTTGTTAGAGTGAGTGAGTTGGGTTTAACGCCGCTTTTTAACAGTATTCCAGTTATATCGCGGCGTGTCAGCTTAATGTGGGAGGAAAGCCCGAAGTGATGCAGGTCGCAGACGTTTACCACTTCGGTGAATCCCACAAGCACGGGTATGGTGCTGACAAACATAGAAACATAATCGGGGCGAACCGGGATTAGAACCCACAATCATAGGTTTCTGGCGTGCCCAAGAGACGCAACTCTGCACAGCGAATCGCGGCGCCTCAGACGACTGGGCCACCCGTGCCCCCCAATCTTGTTAGAACAGATCTCGATAGATAGGAAATCATTCACCGTGTCCATTTTGCCTTTTACATTCCATTGGACCCCAAGTGACTAGCTATCATGTTTTGCAATTACGTGACCTGCTTGGATTTCGGGTAGGTGGTTGACCGGTGACTTGGTTGATTGCTTGCAATCGTATCGGCGTTGGGTGCTGCTCATAAAGATCAATCGATGGTCAGTCCGGTCCAGAATCGATTATATACAGACTGCATTCATATAACTGGCATGTTGCTAAATGCGGCGTTAAATAACAAGGAAATATCTTACACGAAATGATTGATATGTATTTGTCTTTTTGTTCCTTTTCAGAGAAACATTTACGAAAATACCCCAACCAAGGTTGCTTGTTGTCAACCCCGCCGGTGCTATACTGACGTTAAGCACATAGAAAACATTCACCGTCCGTCTCGTCCTTCAACCGTGCCGAGGACGTGTCTAACATCAAGAAAAAGATTATCTTTCGATTCTTCAAACCACGAGCGACAAACTGATTCATCACAAGAATTCAAATTCAGTCATGTGAGAGACTTACGTTATGACATGGAGTCTGTGGACGTCAGATTTACCCCGAAATCGGAATTGTGCGCCAACAACATCAATAATGAAGGTCCCAGAATGCCGCCCTGTCGTACCCCTGTACAACAATCATCATCAGATCGGGGGGTGTTTCTTTATAACTGTCCTGTGCAGCCAGCAGAAACAGGTATGCATACGAGTATTTCCGCCTTGTATGGGTCACATCAAATTGATTGTCATTTTGAAATCGGTTCTTTTCATTAAATGCTGATAAAGAATATTTTTTTAAGCTTTAATATGTTTATATTTTTTTTATATTTGTTTTATCATGACCATTGATTAACTTTGGCACATTCTTGTTTTTGTGGGGTAAGTGTCTTGCTCATCTCGGTTTAAATCAGACATATATATTTTCTTCAGGTGTACTACTACTTCTTCTTCTCCTACTTCTTATTTACGGATGACTATGTCGTTTGAAATTTCTCAAAACATACGCATTTGAACTCTATTTTACAATTAAACTCTCCAAGAAAACAGCCCTAACATAACAGCCCAAGCGATATTACCGAAGCATGGTACAAGTGTCAAAAGTCCAAATGTATTTTTACGACTAGCTAGCCATGCATATCATTCTTTGTCAATTTCAATTTCCTCTTTTTCAAAACATGACAATGAAAAAAAATATGAAACAAAAAAATCGACGCGTTCTTGCCGTAACGCACACACACATTTTCCTCCGAAGATCGTTCGAAAAACACATCAACGATAAGTAACAAGGGCGTTTCTTTCTGAAACAGTTTAATTAAATATGTCCGCAAGGAACGAAACTTTATAGAGTTAATTTTATTTCATCCGGAACAATGCATTTTTACAAAGAATTTTTTTTATTCATGAATTTGTTGAGGTAAAGATAATTTTCAATAGGAAAACCCCCCGAAATATAGCTTACACAACCATTTATAATAAGGTATCTAATTGTGGCAGGTTGTTGACATGGCCTGTAATGGGGTGTCCTCAGACCTTCTGAGCGTTAGCATAGCGCACTGATTTTGATGAGATTGTTCATTGCGCATGACGAGTCAGAGCCTTATCAACTTATTTGGTTGGGGAACGAAAGTAATTTATACTGCCGCAGACAGCTATGTTATTTAAAAACCTAAATGTTTATGATAAATACTTTTTTGATATAAAACAATATCTTCCTGTGTTCCATATCATATATTTAATTTAATTACACACATGACTGGAATTTGTATTGAGTAATCGTTTCGATCTTTTAAGATTGATGAGGTTTTTCTTAATTTGACTATTTTGGGGAACAGTTATCATTACCTTGATCAGCCCGGTTTCGATTTGGATCTGGAGGAATTCTGACTATAATTTTGATAATAACAGCTGTAAAAAACATCTTTTTAAATTAGTCTGGTAAAAGATAATTTAGTTCAAAGACGTGCCCCGCATGGCGCGACGTACCCCCTCACAGGTAAATGATGCTTGGAAAAAGGGTAAGACTGTCGCAATGTTTGCAGGGAACTTATTACTGATTGGATATACGAAAATCTACTTCCAGTGTACTAAAGGGTTTAAATACCACTGCGTCTTATTATAGAGATGTAAATAAAGCAAAAAGGAAAAAACAAGATTATTATTATTATTATTATTATTATTATTATTATTATTATTATAGACTTACGACAGTCGTATCGAAACGGTCACTTCGGTGAACGGGGCACAACATGTCCATTGCGGCGTTCAAAACACTAGTTTGAGTCAAGATAAATGTATTATACTTATACATTCTTTATTACCAGGTACATCAGGTCGCCAAAGTCAAAGTATTCACGGAAGCCGACAAACCACGCACCAAGGTCCCAACAGCACCAGTTCCTGCAAGTGCTCGAGCCTGAAACAAGGCTTCATCACACTCGCAGCAAACGCCTTCAGCAACATCAAGAGGAAGGACTCGTCGGCAGAAAGCTTTCAGCAGTTTAAAACGGAGGTTGACAGAACAAACGAGTTCCTTAAACAGACGCTTGAAATGCTGACAACTTTCAAAGATCTTTGTGGACATTAAAGAGGACATCCGCACACTAACACTGAACAAAGGGATTGAATGCATCCCCATACTTGCATATCAAACACGTATCAAAGCGAATCTGTGATAAAGAGTTATGTGCATACGTATAACTGTTAAATATGTCGAGCGAATCTGTGATTCAGTTTTAGATTTTAAATGTTCGTACTGTTCGGATATCATAACGAATCGGCCATGTTCAGCCCTGTCAACATATCTGATCACACCGAACATTGCTGATAGGGCTAAGCATGGCTGATTCGTTATGATATCTAAACAGTACGAACATTGAACATCTATATATCAAAGCGAGTATATATATTAGTGAATCTGTGATCAGAATATCATATACTTCGTACTGCTCACTTCTCAAAGCGACTCTGGGATGCCGACCTCTGTGCATCCTTTTGACTGTTACATATATTAAAGCGAATCTGTGGTAGTACAATATGATGCTCGCAGTTAAAGCAAGTTTGTGAAATAAATATTTTTGTTTCGAGTTTTTTATTTCGATTGTTTTAATGTCATCTTCAGATTTTAATATGAGGTGATGTGAAATGGGGTTTAACGTCGCGTCCAAGATTATTGCACTTGTATAGCGACGTGCATGTACGTGTGAGTGTTTGTGTGGCTGCTTGTACTAGTCCGGACTGACGCCGGTTTATAGTGCTACCATGCCGCAGTTTAACATGAATACCCCACTCGGACACAGTATACTGACTCTGAGCCGACCAGTCCTTGTTTTAGTCCCTTAATGCCGAGCGCCAGACAGGGTAACAACATGTACCATCTATTAACGTCTTTTGGTATGACGCGGCCGGGGATCGAACCCCGGACGTTCCGCTCTCCGGGCGGATGCTCTACCACTAGACCACGGAGGCGGTCGATTTTAATATGAAGACAATACACAATGAGCCCTACATAACGCGACATATTGTTGGTGTCATCACCGATTTTTTCAGTGATCCATTCATACAATTGTCACCGTTATTTTGCCTTTTACTCCCAAAGGAATCTCTTTCGGTGGACATTCGAGACAGGTTATTCTCTGGCGTTGACGTTGCATATTGAAAATGCAACTTCTGCAACATGGTTCTAGCAGATCCCTCATCTGATGAAGGATTTTTAATCGATTGTTTGCTTGTCTCGAAATACTCGACATAATTTCTTTGGATACTAGAACTATATCGGAATCACCGTAGTCTCGCTTTACAGCTGCATATACAACTTAAGACCACTCTTGAATCCTTAAGTTGAAAATACATTTTCTAAACCCTACGGTGTGAAGAAATTTAACATCGACCATTTGTGAGTTTACATAATGTTAGCAATGCTGATTTATGGCTAATATATGACCACAGTGGCTGATATAAATCTCTTTTTTTGTACTGCGGGTAAACACGTTCACCAACACCTAGCAGGTGCGCGCCGTGTGAAATAGACATGCTATTCACAAGTAACGACCGTAATCAATTTCAAATACATCACTTTAGATTGTCCAACTGCAGCGGGCATTCGCATATTGAAACTGCTTGATGGCTCTGAATGAGACTTTGTTGTAACCCTGAAGAGAAAGCAGTCAATAAATCTTGTCAAGAAGTGGATCGTTGTTTGCCTTAGATGTTTGCGTGTGTGTGTTTATCGACACCTTGTTTCAATCACCTGTATAGGCGAGAGGAGCATTCTATACTGACAGCGATGAAATAGAGCAGGTACATGTCAGATATATCACACAGGAGCAGTACTGTCATGAGAGGGCCAATAAAGCATATCTAAGCATAAACGCAAATCCCACGTGTGCGCAGATTTGAACACGTACATCGTCTAAAAGGAAAATGTTTTTTTATAATAATAATAATAGTGAGTGAGTATGGTTTTACGCCGCTTTTAGCAATATTCCAGCAATATCACGGCGGGGGACACCAGAAATGGGCTTCACACATTGTACCCATGTCGGGAATCGAACCTGGGTCTTCGGCGTGACGAGCGAACGCTTTAACCACTAGGCTACCCTACCGCCCTAATGATGATGATGATGATGATGATGATGATGATAATAATAATAATAAAATAAATAAATGTATTAGTAGTAACAGGAATTGCACGCAAGAGGTGAACATTGTCCAATTATTATGCTTAAGGATTATTATTCGGGTCGGTATTGTGTGTGTGTGGCTGCTTCTACTTGTCCGAACTGATGCCGATTATAGTGCTAGCCCACTGAGATACCATGCCGCAGTTTAACATGAATACCCCACTCAGACACAGTATTCTGACTCCGCTCCCCGGTCGGACGCTCTACCTCTAGACCACGGAGGCGGTCGGATCAGTATGCATTCTCAACTCTCTGGGGAGTATATATTTTGATAAGACTTGTACATATATATATTATTATATAATTATGTAACAAATGTTACAATGGAAGCCTCGGTAGCTGAGTAGGTTAGATCGCTGGCTTTGTGTGCTGGCAATTAGGTGCCTCACGCTGGCAGTGTGGGCTCAAATCCCGGACGGGACTCAACCCAAAAAAGTACGATATTCTGTTCTTTACTCTGAAAGTGTTATCCCAAATATAACATTTGTTACATTTGACCACTTTCTAAATGGCATTGTGTGTTTATATGATTATGTATTTGATATTTTTAAGCATTAGCCATACATCGGCACCAGAAATAATTTTCACATATTTTCCCAATTATGGAACTCGAACCCAGGTCTTTGGAGTGACGAGGGAACGCTTTAACTTCTAGGCTACCACGCCATCATATAAAGAGGTGAGATGAAATGGGGTTTAACGTCGCGTCCAAGATTATAGCGACGTGCATGTACGTGTGTGTGGCTGCTTCACTAGTCCGGACTGATGCCGATTTATAGTGCTAGCTCACTGAGATACCATGCCGCAGTTTAACATGAAAATCCCACTCAGACACAGTATACTGACGCCGAGACGACCAGTCCTTGTTTTAGCCCCTTAATGCCGAGCGCCAGACAGGGTAACAATAAGTAACATCTTTTAACGTCTTTTGACGTCTGAGGCGGCCGGGGATCGAACCCCGGACCTTCCGCTCTCCGGGCGGACGCTCTACCACTAGACCACAGAGGCGGTCCCATCGTATATGGACCATTTAGGTGATCATGTAGAATCAGATTGTTCAGTTGCTACTTGATTTCAAAAGATGTTTTTTTAAATGTTGTCGCGGGTGGTGTTAAAGGGGTGGTTTGTGTTATAGATAGAAGTGAAAGAAAAGAACAATGTATTAAGTTAAAGAGTGAGTGAGTGAGTGAGTGAGTGAGTGAGTGCCGTTGTAGCAATATTCCAGCAATATCACGGCGGGAGACGCCAGAAATGGGCTTCACACATTGCAGCCATGTGGGGAATCGAACCTGGGTCTTCGGCGTGACGACCGAACGCTTTAACCACTGACTTCTCCATCGCCCCAAGAAGAAAAAGATGAAGAAGAAGAAGTTACAGAAGAAAGGAAGTCATGTGTGATATGAACTACATAACAAAAGCCAATTAAAATACAACAAACTGCCTCTAGGCCTATGGGACCCACAGCTTCATCCGACCGCCCGTCCACCCGCACGTACCTTACCCCACACCCTAAACAAACACAAACACTTGGGGGAACTAAACACACTTATAGCCCCTCGACATGCTGATGATGAGGGCAGCCAAGAACATCATTTCAGAGTTCCTGTTCTGGTCAGCCGGCGAGTATTAAGTGAGTGAGTGAGTTTGGTTTTACGCCGCTTTTAGCAATATTCCAGCAATATCACGGCGGGGGACACCAGAAATGGGCTTCACACATTGTACCCATGTCGGGAATCGAACCCGGGTCTTCGGCGTGACGAGCGAACGCTTTAACCACTAGGCTACCCGACCGCCCCGGCGAGTATTAAGAGAAGGGGTAGCAACCGGGCATTTCCTTCAAAGGATAGAGAAAGCAGCGAACAGTCATAGTACATTTGTCACGATTAATATTGCTATTGTCACATAATTCATACATGATTGAAGAGCGTGTTTGTTGGATGTACACAATCTTGACTTACATGTTTAACGTTGTCCCGATAATGGCCAGGTGTTCAAGAACACGGAGAGGAAACTTCCGCGAAGAACTCACGGTAGCAGGTGAGCTATTCAATAATCGATACTTACAATCGGGGAGTACAACTATTGCGTACAAACAAGTAGATTAGTGTTCGGATTATCAGACAGTTAATCCATCACGATGGGGATTAAGATACGCACCAACCACGGATGTTATCGTAATCGCCATGTCGCATATCTACAACGTTGACGTGAGACCAATCCCTTGGATATACAAATATTCAATTATTACTGTGTACAGCTCCCCGTGGCGCCCCCGTGGAGCCCCATTAGAGATACTTGTATATCAATTGTAAGAAGGAATCAAAAAGGCCCGTGAAGATCCGGGATAAAATAGGTCTTCACCAACCCAAGATATTTGATTCCTTTGTTTCTTTGTTTGTTGTTTAACGCCGCACTCAGCAATATTCTAGCTATATGACGGCGGTCTGTAAATAATCGAGTGTGGACCAGACAGTCTAGCCATTGACACCATGAGCAACGATCCACGCAATTTGGATCGACGACATGCATCAACCAAGTTAGCGAGCCTGACCACCCGATCGCCAGTCCTGCACCATGACTGTGGTATTTATATTTTTAGGTATTTTTTATACTTAAAGCCTAGGCAAGTCTAGATCAAACTAACCAAGTCTAGTTTGCTTGATTACAGTAGAAGAGGAAAGGTTCTTTCGAAAAAAATATTTTTATTATTTTAAAGACATGTTTTCATTGACTAAGTGTTAGTCTACCCGATCCCGTTAGTCGCCTCTTACGACAAGCGTACGTTTGAAGTTGGAGACAAGCATAGTCACCTTTTACGGCAGGTATGGGTTGCTGAAGACCTATTCTACCCCGGAACTTCACAGGTCTTGTCCCTTTGAATATGTACTCACACAAACACATCTACAAATCCTGTCGTGTTAATTTTGAGGAGAGTTAATTGTCATCGCAGCTTAACTCTTTTACAAAAAAAAATATGCAGTAGGATATGTGGGAATGTCACCACATTTGTATTAGCGCACACATCACCACCGCAACCCACAGGCAAACCCTCATATTTGAGGAGCTGTCAGATGTTAATTTCAGCGTGCAGTTGACACGTGTTGCTCGCGACATCCGACTCATCTGATATTGACATGCCAACCGATATCTACATGTGCCATCCCATTGTTTGGCACATGTCAATCACACTGAAATTGATGTTGACAGAGCTATTCAATGATCTCACGTTATTAAAGGGAGCTCTTTAGTGATGGAAACGATTAACGTACGGGGATTACCGATGTTTACCGATGGGTTTTACAACAATCGTATGAGCCTGTTCAGGTTGATAGGCATGCGTCTTTCATCCAATATCGCAGTCATACCAGATAATGACAGATAAAGTGAAGTTATTGCTTCGATAT